AAATACTATCCCCATTCTACTGATTTCTTTTTTAGTAGCAAGTTATCAACTTCTCAGAGAAAGCAGACTCATTGCTTCACTTTTGTAGATACCATTTTATTGTCTCAAACTTGGCATCTATTGAGTTATCTGTTCCCCTCCCTCTGCCATCTGGGATGGAGGCGTTTCAGGTGAGAGCCTGAGAGCCAGGGAGGAAGTGATGGTCATGCCAACTTGACCCTGCTATGCACAGGTTCTTGAGATAATAATTGAAGCCATAAACATAATCTTATGCTAGTTCACAAAAGTTTGTCCATATCCCAATGGGATGTGTGTGTGTGTATGTATGTATGTATGTATGTATGTATGTATGTATGTATGTATATACAGCCAGCTATCCAAGGAAAGATGGAAAGTATAGAATGTTGTGAATGGTGACTTCTGTATTATAAATACACTAGTCTCCTTTTACCCAGTGACCTGCTTTTCATGGTTTCAGTTACCTGTGGTTGACAACAGTCCAAAACATGAACTGAAAAGCTCCAGAAATAAATAGTTCATAGGTTTTAAGTTGCTCACCAGTCTGAGAAGCATGATGAAATGTGCTGTCCCACCCAGCATGTGGATCAACCTCATATCCAGAGTATCCACTGTGTATACACTACCCACTCACTAGTCTTAGGAGCCTGTTGGTTTTTCAGATAACCCTTCTGATTTAGGTCATTATAAAATCAAGTTTATTCTGACTTACAGTTCTAAAGGATGGAAGTCCTGGGCTAGGCAGCTACATCTGATAAGGGGCTTGCATTGCATCATAATGTGGAATGTAGAAGGGTAGACATTGTACATGGAGGAGGGCAAGCATGGAGGATGGACTGATGCTCTTAATAACCTGCTTTTGCTAGATGGACCCTACTACCTTGAGAAACACAATCTTCATGCTGACCTGTTAAAGGTCCTGCTGTCTCCCAGCATTGACACAGAATCAATGAAATCTCATGTCAATCTTACAAAAAAACCCATATTCAAACCACAGAGCCTTCCAAATGGACTTCTTCATCTATAGAATGGGACCTCACTCTGTTATTGAAGATGCTGCATTTCACTAAGGAAAAGAACACTGGCTTTGGAGTCGGTGGCCTGTGATCTCATCCAGCCTTAGGAGATCTGGCAAGTTGCCTTTACCTTTATTCCCTTGCTTGGAAAGCGAAGCATTGACTTCATAGGTTAATGATGAGAATAGCTGAGATAATATTTGTACATCACAGACTCCAAAAGGGTATGCATTAGCATGTGCTTGGCAGTTATCATTAGGTGTGGCACAAAGAGAATCTTACCTTTTACTTTTGCCCATTCAGATTGAGTATTGAGCTGGTAAATGTTTAACAACAGCTCTTCCAAAAGCAAAGGCCTGAGTCATACTGTTTGCCTATTTCTGTGGTATAGATATTCCCTTGGGGCTGATTTCACACTACCTCAGTCACAGCCCCAAACGTGGGGTTGGGAAGATACACATGTTCTTAAACATACCCATATCAGAACACCACTGTTTTTTAAAACTGTGCATTCAATGCTTTGCTCTAGGGATAAATTAAGAGAGAGACTACTGAACAGCTAGCATTGTGCCTGGCACGTTAGTTTTCTACCCTCTCTGTCTTCTCTTTCTCATCCTTGGCCCTTATTACTCTAATCAAATAGCACACTGACCTTGAGCAACAGCTATGTGAAGTGTGTTGTGTGTGGAGGGTGGGTCTTCTGGAATCTAAGAAGCCACGTAAGTGTCTTGCTTCCCAGACCCTGGAAAGCCTTCAGATGAGCCCTAAGGTTGTCTTGCTGAGGCAAAAGCAAGTAGACATGCAGGTCTTCTTCACAGGAGATGTGCTCTGAGCAGGGCAGTACAAAGCTCAAAGAGTTGCAGAGAGAATACAAGCAACTTTTCTATTGATGAAGGGCCTGAGGGGAATATACACTTAGGAGACCATAGCCTGGAACCAGCCCAGTCACTGCCTTCAGCAGTGACCCAGTAGGGGGTGTGTGTGTGTGTGTGTGTGTGTGTGTGTGTGTGTGTGTGTTTGATTAATGAAATCTTTCTATTCCTTCATAACTTAGTCTGTTGCAGAAGGCTTGCAAGTCCACTTGCAAGTTTACTTGCAAGTAAACAAGGCTTAACCTTTACAAGCATGAACCTGGGTAGAAAATGTCCTTGAGAGAGATGCAAACTTAGTAAAGATCACCAAAAATTATTAAAAATACTTTTTGTAGATCTGGGAAGATTGCTCATTGAGTAAAGTGCTTGCCACGAAAGCATTAGAGTCTATGTTCCATCTCTAGACCCCACATAAAAAGCTAGGTATCGTGGAGTGTCTGTAATCCCAGCACGGAGAAGGTAGACAGGCATGTCCCAGGCAAGACTTGCTGGATAGCCAGCCCAACTTACAGGACAAGCTCCAGGCCACTGAGAGACTCTGTCTCTAAAAGGGATGGGGGAGGTAGATGGAGCCTGAGAAATGACACTCAGGTTAGGTTGACCTCTAGTCTCCACATGCATGCAGGCATATGTGCACTGATGCACACACATACACATACAGTTTCTTCTGCCTTTTCTATAGTTTTCAAATATATCTTCAAAAGGCATTTATTGCACACACACACACACACACACACACACACACACACACACACACACACACACACCCTAAAAAATAAGCAACCCGAAAATACAAGTGAAGCAAGAATGGTGTTAGCAATTAATCCTCAGAAGGTGATGTGCCCCTTGTATGAACTAAAATCCCACCTTCCCACCTGCCTTCTGAGTCCTGTAGCTCAGGCTGGATCCTATACCTTGGCTGGGCCCATCATAGGCTGTCTCTCTCCCAGCCTCTCCTATGGGGCTTCCTCTTGGGTGTTGACTAATAGAGCTCCTCTGAAGACCCTGGCAGAGGTATGTATAGATCTCTTAGAAGTAGAAGTGGAGGGGCCAGGGGGATACAGGAGGATAAATAACACACTGCAGCTCCCCTGGAGGTACTCACAAGTTAGAGATTCACTTCAGCCCAAATCTCCAGTGCCTGCTGTGGGGCTGAGTCCCTGGTCTCCGTCATGGGGAGTGAAGGTTTTGCTCCCTAACACAGGATAACAGTGCTGGCTCCATGGCCATAGAAGCAATGGGGCTGTCTGGGAAAGGTGTGCAGAGCATGGGCTTGCTGAAAGGCAGCCTTTGAGCTGTTCATCCTTTGAGTGGTGAGCTGCCATAGCCTGAAGAGCTCAGCCCATCCTTCTGGCCTAGGTAGAATTTGGGGGAACTGTCATATGTTGGGGTGGGGATTCTCAGTCAAGATATAGGCTGAATCTGGTAAACAGGCTGGAGCATGAGAGGGATGTATGACAGAAGCACCTTCGTGCATGTATTGTCAGAGCCCAAGTGACTCAACCTGGAGCCATTCAGTGAAGAGGTAGGTGGTGCAATCCTCTGGGCCCTCCTGCTACTCTCTGTTCATGAGATGTGACCACAAATTTCCTCAGAACTGGCCTTTATTTGTTTGACAGCTTTACTGAGATTTAATTTGGATACCATACAAATCTCCCATTTAAAGCATGTAAGTCCACATTTTCAGTGTCTTGCAAGTGTTACCAGTGGAAATCTTAGGAAATTCCTATTGTCCTCAATGAGGCTTCCAGTCCCTAAATCCCAAGGCAAGCACTTAGTTATTTGTCTGTGTAGACTTGACTATTTTGGACCTTTCCCCATATGTGGAAACATGCAGAGCATGCTTTTCCTCCTTTTCATATCTGCTTCCTTTTCCTTGGATGCTCTCAGGGTTCGTCCATGTTGTAGTATCCCTCATTCCTGTTTGTAGATGGACAGTATTCTGTATTTTGTTTATCCATACATCAGTTGATGGATATTTGGGTTTCTACTTGTGGCCTATTATGAAGAACACTGCTGTGAGCTCTCATGCACAAGTTGTATGTGGACAAAGGCATTATGTCTTAGGTGAATGTTCCATCACTGATTTTTTTTTCCACAGTATCTGTCTGATTGCTTTGCATGTCTGCTTCAAAACACTCAATAGCTTTCCTTTGTTCTTAATATCAAGATCAAAATCCTTACCTTGTTCTATGCAGCTTCTGGGCCCTTGACAGCTTCACTCCAATCCCCTCCTTGTTCTATCCAAATCAAGAGAATAAGAGCCACCTCCAGTGTACAGAGCCTCCTTTCTTGGCTTAAACTTTGAGCCACCCCCACCTCTATAGGGGTTTCTGCAGTCCCTCAGGCTAAGGCCTCAGCTTATCCACCCTCCTCTTCAGATGAGGCTTACCTGTCACTCTTTCTAAGACTTCATAAAATTTATTCTAGCAACCATTGTCACCACCACCACCACCACCACCACCACCACCACCACCACCACCAATGACATCCATTGTGGCAATCTGTTTTGTGTCCCTCTTACTGCCACCATAAGCCACAAGAGAGAAATAACCTCATTCTTTTCCTCCTGTTTTCCCTGGCACCTAACACAGTACCTGACATTTTCAGGCATTCAGTAATTCCTTATCAAGTGAACAGCAATGAACTCAAATAGTGATGGTGATGAACAGGCCGCTCACTCAGAAGATCCTATTGCCCTTGAGGGTTCCCTCAGTTGAGGCTAAGATGGCCACTCCAGCTCTATTCTCATCTCTCTACTCATCTGAGTGAACTGCTGTAGAAACAGAATAAGTAATGGGGAAACCCATCAGTCCTACAATAACCGCTGGGCTGTGGCTTTGTCTCTGTCATTTCCCTGGTTTGTGACCAGATTGGTAGTTATCATTGTAACTTCCAGGAGTGGTTACTGAAGGATGGTTTTCTGAAGGTCTTTGCTTCTCTGCAATTTGGATAGCTGTGCAGTGACAAGATGTGCTCTCTGTAGTAAATGGTTGATTTCCTATGTGTGTCTTGCAAAAATCTGTCCTTGGAAGAAATTCCAAGAGGAAACTGTATGCCTTCTGAGACTTAATTGCTTTTTTCCTCCCCACAGATATGCACTTGTTTGGCCATTATCCAGCACATGATGACTTCTATCTGGTTGTGTGCAGTGCCTGTAACCAGGTCGTCAAGCCACAGGTCTTCCAGTCACACTGTGGTAAGTGCACTCCTGCACCTGGTGAATGCATGGGCAACCATTGACCCTGGGTTCCAATCTGTCTCAGTCCAAGGCTGTGGGGATACTGGCCTGGGGCTGCTGCCTCCGTACACAGAGGAGCTGGTAGGAACTTAGTCTTCTTGGTCACATGCTCCCTCTGTCAGTCCAAATAGGACAAAGTCTGCAGCAAGCCATAGTAGATAGGACTAATCTGAAACTGTTGTGTACCTTGGTGGTGGCCTCTGCCGGTGGCCAAGAAGAGGGGAGGATGGTGGCTGGAGGAAGCACTTCCCCTGCAACCTGACATCCCCACCACCAAGGAGGCACATGGGAGAGACTCCCCAGATTTGCACACAGGGTAGGGCTAGAACCACAGGTGGCTATTGTGTGTAGCATTGGATGCTGCTCCCAGGATGTAGATAAAACCTCCCATCCTGCTTGTCCTTTCAAGAATCCCTCTTACTATGTTTTTAATGTGTGCTTAAGAACTCATTTTCTATCGGGCAGTGGTGGCGCATGCCTTTAATCCCAGCACTTGGGAGGCAGAGGCAGATGGATCTCTATGAGTTCGAGACCAGCCTGGTCTACAAGAGCTAGTTCCAGAACAGCCTCCAAAGTCACAGAGAAACCCTGTCTTGAAAAACCAAAAACAAACAAACAAAAAACAAACAAACAAACAAACAAAAAAACCTCATTTCCCTGAGTACCTTAGCATCCTGGCTGTGAGGCTGTGATGAATTCCTTGACTCCATCAACAGCAAATTGCGTACCCCACTCAATACTGGTGGACATAAGGACAGAGAGAAGCCATGTGGCCGTTCCTAAACACCTCTCTGACTTTAGACAAGAAGTCTTTTACTTTCTCTGGTTCTCTGGGTGGCTGTTTCCTTATCTTAGCCAGGAGTTAGAGCAGATGATTTCTCCAGCTGTCATGTCTGTGTGAGTCCAGGTCAGTACATTCCGGTCTTATTTAACCATGACCTCTTTGATCAACAGAATCTGAATGCCCCTCTGCTGTTGTTTCCAGAGCATATTCAATATTACACTTGAACAAAAGAAGCAATTATAATGTTGAATGTGCTTTCGTAAAACACATTTCCCTTTCTCAGTGTGTTCTCACGTCCCCTGTCCCTTTTAGTATTACCAGGCTGTGATAAGTAGTCATGAAATAAAAGAATTAAATGTGTTTGGGACAAGAGACTAGCCGAGCATTGTTAATATGTGTCTATGATATCCCCATATAGATAATATCTGTGTGCCAGCTGTAGGTATGACTTATTTTTATAATGAGTAGGCAGAAAATCTGTGCTTTGAGAGGCGGGCACTATCTTGAGTTAGTCCAAAGCTTTGGCTTTGGACTATACAAAGCCAAAGCTTTGTATATACTTTATATATACTTTGTAAATACTATACAAAGGGATCTGAAGAGAGGAGGGGTTCAGCTCTGATTTCTTTGTCTCTTCCATGGGGAGGTGACTTATGTGTGTGTATACATGTTGGCATGTTCATTTCTGGCACTTGGAGCATAAATGGAGTGAGCATGCATCCAGCACAAGCTGACCTTTTTCGTTGTTCTATAGCAAACGACCCTCTTCTGGCTGAAAGAGAAATAAGGTCACACCTTTCTGAAGGGAAACTGTCAGAGGCCCAACAGTGCTACTACTAACTGAGGCTACAGGTAAACCATTAAAAGTGTGGCACTGGCAAGGAGGTCCTATAACAATAAGTCTTTACTCCATCTGCCCGAGCCCTGCTGCCACGTGGGTGCTTTCCGCCAGATCGCCAAGTTCTGCCCCCCCGCCACGTTATGGTCCCAAGTAACACACAGAGACCTATCTTAGGTACAAATGTTGCTTGGCCAATGACTAGGGTTTCTCATCTGTTAGCTCAGTCTTAATTATCATAAATCTATTTATTTTATAAGATTTATCTTATAGGACACCGGTAAGCGTCCTGTCTTCCCGGGCTCACATGTTGACTCTGCCCTTTCCCCTACCTTTCCCAGAATTCTCCTTGACTCCTATCTTGTTTTCCTATTGGCCAACAGTACTTTATTTATCAACCAATAAGACAATCATATACACAGAAGGACCTCCCCCATCATCTCCTCTTTTCTGTCTAAATAAAAAGAAGGGTAACTTATCTTTTATAATAACTGAAGAAAACTATAACCATAACTGTATTCAACTCCATCATAGACCACAGAAGGATAATACATAAACTCTAGAACTGACAGAGACATCTCGCTGCCTGGACAGTCACCCAAAGTTCCTCTGTAACGTTGGGGCATCCATCTTCAGCCTATAGGCCACAGTGTGTCTGGCACACTTTATTCAGTGAAGATCTGTGGGACATTGTTCTGTGTGTTTGATGAGCATGAGGACTCCAGCTTGTCCTGAGTGCTTATCGCCAAGTCATTCCTAGGGCTGTGCTGCTGCTCGGGGCACTCAGGTGCTGCAGTGAACACAAGGGCAAGTTCCAGCTTGGGAAGCTGACGCTCAATTGTAAGCCTGAAACCTAGCTGGGAATTTAACTTGCCAGTAGTCTTTGATGGAAGGATCCAGAAATTGATGAGGTTGTCACTGCCATGCAGATGCTACCTCAGGGAAAGGAATCCTCTCACTGGCAGAGGAAGTGTGTTGTAACTGATACATGGGGCTCTGAACCCTTAGGCTTTCAGTGTGAATTCTGGGACACAACCTAGGAAGAAAGCCAATGACATGGTAGCCACCTGTTCTTAGCAGAAGCAGAAAATTAGTTTGGAGCTTTGGGGTCACTGACTGAATCACTTGAAGCCCAGGCTGCACTGAGCTTTTTGCTGAATCAGCTGACAAACAGCCATAGGAACAGATCCATAACTCAGCAAATGGAAGCAAAGTGTCACTTATCCTCCAGTCGTGTGTTTCAATAATTCAAAACCGTATTTCTCAGGGACCAGAGAGAATGTAAGGTGCAGCTTAGAGCTATGGCAAGTCTTTGGGGGACCAGTTGTTTTTTTTAAGCTCTCAGAATGCCTCCTATACTTTTGTGGTCCTTGTCAGTTCAGGCTGCCATACCGTGATGGGTTGCTTATAAACAACAGAGATTGATTCCTTCCAATTCTGGAGGTTGCTGTCTAAGGTCAGGATGCCAGCATCAGATTTTGGTGTGGGCTGTCTCCTACATTGCTGCCAGCCAGCTTCTTACTGTATTCTCATGTGGCAGAAAGAGGCAAAGAGCTGCCTGGAGCCTCATTTGTAAGGATGAATCCCATCCTTGAAGTCTCCACTCTTGTGATGTGACTGCCTTCCAAAGGCCCCACCTTCCAACACCATCTTGTCTCAGGTGTTTGGAGACAGGGAAGAAGCATTTGGTTTAACAGTGTTCATGGCTGGAGTTGTAAATCAGTTGCAAGCACTTCCCTAGTACCCGAGACCAACTTTGATCTCCAGAACCAGCACAGCACAGCACTGCTTCTTTTTCCTTCCTTGCCTTCTGACTTTACCTTGTTTGATGAGCCTTTCTGTTTCAGTAAGTTAATAAGAGTGCCATTGTGCTAAATGCTGGGCAGTATGCCAGGTGCTTTGCATATCTTTGAAAACACAACCCTTTTACTAGCCCTGGGGAGTGGGTGTGAATATTATACCCCTTTTGGAGTTCAGGAAGCTGAAGCTTAACAGGTTGGGTGCTTTGGCCACAGTCTCAAAGCAAGACAGGAGAAGACCTGGTTTTGAATGCAGGTGTCTTCACAGAGCTAGGGGAGTGGCCACAACCAGTGCTCTCACAGCCTGTCTACATGCAGCTCCATATAAACTATGAATATAGGTGGAAAGTGGGTTGTTGGGGGAAGAAAACAGTGCAGGACCTCAGGCCCCACCCGCTATGACTCTCCCCAGGCCACTACCGGAGCTCTCTAGTGTTACTTAAATGTGTTCATATATTGGAAATGACAGGCTTTGGAAACAGGCAAAATGATTATGTACCTCCCCTTGCTGAGTGTGTGACCTGGGCCAGGCCACTTCATCTTTCTCTACCTCAGTTGGTTCATCTATTAAATGGATACTTGGCCTGCTTTGTGGAGCTGCCATGCAGTTATCTGGGGTTTGTCTCTGCTGTCAGTGCTAGGAATATTCCTTTGCATTTCTGCATTCCCAGCAACCTCACAGTAAGGCTGTCATGAATGCATGAGGACATTCATGTTCATGGTGTACAGGCTATTTAATTTAAATTGAAAGATCAAAAGTGTGTTTGTGTTCTCTGTGCATGTGTGGGTACATGTTTCTGTATGTGCACACATGGCGGTTATTGTGGGTACGTGTCTAAAGCTGGTAGAGGAAAACTTTTTTACTCAATACTTCCCACACCAGATAATATGCTTTCCACACCAAGCTCAATTTAATCTGTTTCTACCCAGTGTAAGTGTAGACCCACAAGTTAAAGGTTCAGCCCATACAAGTGTCTTTTATTTTAGATGACAATCACAGATAATGGTCACAAGGTTACTCATACTTTTGTTTGACTTTGGGATCCCACTTTGCTATAATGACTCACAGAGTTCAGGGAAACAGTTTGCTTGTGTTTACTCTGTTGTTATAACACACACACACACACACACACACACACACACACACACACACACACACACACACAGTCTTTCTTTTTTCTGAGACAGGATTTCTCTGTGTAGCCCTGGCTGTCCTGGAACTAGCTTTGTAGCCCAAGCTGGCCTTGAACTTGTTATTATAACTATTAATGCTGTCGTAAAGAATGTGACAAAGCATCAGATTTACACATAGAAATTCACAGGGTGAAGTTAGAGGTCCGGAGCACAGGCACTTTTGTTGTTGTAGAATTGAGATATACCCGGGCATGTGGATACACATCTGATCTCCCAGATCCTCTCAGCTCTCAGGCTGTAGAGGTGCCATTGCACACCGATTCAAAGCACTGGGCTTTGGTGTTCAGTTCAGTCTTTAGCTCTGGTTGAGTGGGACTGAAAATTCTGATCTTCTGTTCTGCTC